ATTTTTAATTAAAGATGGGCTTGTATGTGTGAATAATTGTGTGTTAAATTATAGGCTATCGAATTCGGTCGAGCCCGATTAAAGTGATCTAATAAGGTTTCGGTTTTGGGCTTTAATGTATCCAATTAAAGTATGGGTTTACATATGTGTAGAGACCGGGCCCAAGTCCTAATTCTATGATGGGCCGAATTAGGTCAAAGGGCATTCCCATATAAATAGGTTAATCACACGCAACGAAACGATTTATTCATTCTCTACTGCATCCCATCACAGAGGGTAAAAGGAGACTGTATGTAGATTTGAAAGATCATACCGCGAAATCCATATTGCATTAACCATATCAGATTCAGGTATGCTTCCGCTTTAATTCTTATATTTCTCGATGATTTAACATGAAAGATCCAGTAATTTAAAGTATTAAATTATCTAACAGATCATGCATCGAGATACGGTAATTAATATTTTTTCATCTGATCATCCAGATTGCCTTTGAAGGCGCACAAAAGCATAGGTAAATAGTTAAATATATGTTTAGAGGTGCAAGCTACTTTGGCACTGCCTTTACATGTTCATACTTGCTGAAGCAACATTTGAGAATTTCTCCGAAGTCTACATGGGATGTTTTCTTGTAATTATCGCAGACATGCAACAAAGTCTCTAACACAACGAAATAATTCTTTATTGGGCTTTCACCTAATAGTCTTCTGTACAGAAACATTTATGTGGAATTAGATGACAAAGTAGTAATTAAAAGAATTGTTAGGTGTTCCTACATAGCTTACTTGAGAGAAAAAAAAAAAAACATCCACGTAGATTTGGAGCATGATACCCTCGAGTTGCTACATAGTCCTTCAAAAAAATTAAGAAAATGAAAAATTAAGGGTTAGGAAGTGAAGTAACTAACATTAACAAAGGGATAGTTACAAAGAAATATGAAAAACTTAACAGAAAGTCAGATTTACAGTCCAAAAAATAGCTGATGGAGCATCATTAAATGACACACGGGGAAAGACAAAAATTGCAAATCCTTAACTTATAATCAGCATTAGCAATAACAATTTTTCGCTTTAAATGATGGTAGAATACATTTCCTGTATAAAAATAAAAAGAACAACAATAATTCAGATAAGTTCCTTGCATATGCATGAGAGGTAAAATGTGGAAGGAGAGTTTAAATGCCGCAGAATCTAATAAACCTGTGTGAATGTATTTTAAGCCGTGAAGGAGCTGATACAGGAGAAATTGATAATGTTCAGGTGTTAGATCATCATTAACCATAATCACTTGATGATGGTCAGATTCCATAAATTGAACACAGTATGGCTTGTGTTCCGGCCTTGAGTTCCAGCTTTATCTTCAGATGAAATACTATAACCTATGTTTTAGCTTCATCTAGGGCTAAAGTACTAAAATCTGTGTTCCAGCCTTGTGTTCTAGCTTCATCTAGAGCCGGAGTAGTACGAATAAACTTGAACTCATATGTTTTTAGAGGAAGAAATGCAAAAACGGGCACTTGTTTTAGATGTGGGATATAATCTCCATTTTTGTCTCCTATAGCATAGATGCTATAGAAATTTATATTCGTACATCTGGTTTAATGACATCAGCCTGCAATTGTTGTGATACTACAATCCATGTCATTTTCTTCTCCCCAACATAAAACTTAACTATGTTATTACCAACTTCTTTTTTCATAACTATGGGTGTATCGTCAAGCATTTTTTTAAACTTTATATATTGAAGCTGTAATGCTAAGTTCCGTGTTTGTGTACCTTTTGATTCCATTACATATTTAGATATTATTTTCTAGACTATCAAGTCCCTTTGAGTTTATTTTTAAAAACTTCTCTTCCATTAAAATGAAGACATTGTTAGTGCGGAAACGAAGTGTTGAAGAAAAACTTGAATTTTTATTGATAGTTTTTGAGTTGCTACAGCACACTCAATAATGTTTTCTTCTTTTTTTTTCCTTACAATGAGACTACAAGAATGACCTCTATTTATAGGACCACATGGATAACTTTAGAGACATGGGAATATAAATGGACACCTAATAATTCATGAATTTGCATCATGTATTTTCCTGATACATTTTCTTCAAATGCATCATGTATTTTCCTGATACATTTTCTTCAAGTGCATGTAACCTTATTTATTTCCTAAGATTACAAATTAATGCCACATTTAACACCCCCTCTTAATTTGTAATCTTGAGTTTTTCCTTGATCTTGTCGAACTTGTCAAATGTGACTGCCTTTGTTAAAATGTCTGCTGGCTGATCATTTGTGTTGATAAATTCCATGCAAATTTCTTCTCGACTTACCAAATCTCGAATGAAGTGATGACGTAGTTCAATATGCTTCGATCTGGCATGAAAAACTGGATTTTTTGTCATAGCAATTGCTGACATATTGTCGCAATGTATTGTTGTTGGCTCTTGTTGTTCAAACATCAAGTCTTTTAGAATTCTTCTAAGCCAAACTGCTTTACAAGCGGCATCCGCAACTGCAATATATTCCGCTTCTGCAGAAGATAGTGCTATAGACCTTTGCTTCCTCGAACTCCATGAAATAATATTTGTTCCAAGACAAAAGATGTAGCCCGATGTACTTTTGCGGTCAACAAGTGAGCCTGCCCAATCACTGTCAGTGTAGCCAACAAGGTTGAAGTTATTTTCCTTTTTGAACTCAATGCCTTGATTTTTGCTTGGTTCATTCATGAACCTGGAAAGTAAACTCACTGATTGAGTGATATCCGGCCTTGTGTTGAGGTAGATGAGTGAACCAATTAACTTTCGGTAAAGTGTAGCATCTACTTTTTCAGCATCATCATTGACTTGGAATTTTTCATTCGGCCCCATTGGAGTAGAGACTGGCTTGCACTGGTTCATGCTGAATTTTTCTAGAAGATCATCAATATACTTCTCTTGAGATAAAAAAAATTCTTCCCGGGCTTTGTTTGACTTGGATGCCAAGAAAGTATTTCATTTGACCCAAGTCACTCATCTCAAAGTCTCTCATCATCTTTTTCTTGAATTCTTCCACCATGCTTTTACTTGTACCAAAGTATAGAAGATCATCCACATAAAGACATACTACAAGAAAGTCTCTTCCAAGATTATTGACATATAGAGATGATTCACTCGTGCTTCGATTGAATCCATTTTGGATGAAATAGCTATTGATTTTGCTATTCCATGCTCGCGGAGCTTGCTTTAAACCATAAAGTGCCTTGTATAAACGATAGACTTTTCCTTCTTGTCCTTTGATTTCAAATCCTTCGGGTTGCTCGACATAAAATTCTTCTTGAATTTCACCATTTAAGAATGCCGATTTTACATCAAGTTGATAAACACATACCTCCAATTGAGCTGCCAGTGCCAAAACAGTACGAATTGTCTCCATTCTTGCAACCGGGGCATATGTTTCAGTGTAGTCAATTTCGGGCTGTTGAGAATACCCTTTTGCAACAAGACGTGCTTTGTGCTTTTGGATCGACCCATCTTTATTGTATTTTATTTTATAGACCCACTTGAGTCCAATGATTTTCTTCCCTTCTGGCAAGGCAACAAGCTTCCAAGTTTTGTTTTTCTCGATTGTGGACATTTCTTCATTCATGGCTTTTGTCCAACATACTTCTTTTGAGGCTTCTTCAAATGATTGTGGTTCACTAGAGAACAACCCAAGTTCACATGACTCATATATGTCTTGTAGTGAACGTGTCTTTCTTGGAGGGCTTTCTGGATCAGATTCTTCCTCACTTCTTGGAGTAGGGTTTGGATTATGCTCTAAATTTCCAACTTGTGACGGACCTGCTTGAAATGTTAATGGATCAACAAAATGGTATGGTGTCTGGTCCACAACTTCTTTCCCTTTCCAATCCCAAGATGCAGCTTCATCAAAAACAACGTCTCGTGAAACTGTAATTTTGTTTGTAGTTGGATCTAATAACCGATATCCTTTAGATTCATCACTATATCCAACAAAGACAAGTTTTTGTCCTTTCTCGTCAAATTTCTCCCGATTTTGAGAAAGGATAAGAGCATAAGCAATGCTGCCAAATATTTTGAAGTGATCAACCATTGGCTTCTTTTTGTTCCAAGCTTCGTATGGAGTTTTATTCCGTACAGCCTTTGTTGGAGACCGATTGAGAATGTATACTACCGTATTTACAGCTTCTGCCCAATACAGATTTGGAAGTCCTTTGCCCTTTAGCATGCTTCTTGCCATTTCAACAATTGTGCGATTTTTTCTTTCGGCCACGCCGTTTTGTTGCGGAGTTCGACTCACAGTTAATTGTCTTTTGATGCCATTTTTTCTGCAATATTCCATGAAAGGATTATAGAGATATTCACCTCCACGATCGGTCCTTAAAGTTTTTATCAAAAAACCACTTTGCCTTTCTGCTTGAGCTTTGAATTGAAGAAATGTGGAATATGCCTCAGATTTTTGACTGAGGAAGAAAACCCATATCATTCTTGTGAAGTCATCAACAAAGAGAATAAAATATCTCTTGTTTCCAAAAGTGGGAGTTTGCATTGGCCCACAAATATCCGAGTGCACAAGCTCAAGTGGTGCTTTCGTTCTCCATGAAGTTTTTGGAAACGACAACTTGTGCAATTTCCCATAGATGCATCCTTCGCACATTTTGTCTATGTGTTGGATGTTAGGAAGTCCCGTCACCATGTTTTTTATTTGGAGTAAACGAAGGCCTCTTTCATGAAGACGACCATATCGTAAATGCCACAAATATGCCAAATCTTCGTCTCTTGCCTTGAGTGCACAATTCTCATTTAGTGGCATCATAAGAGGAAATGTCTTGTTCTTCATTTCAATATTTGCCACACAAATATTTTTCTTTTTGTCAAAAACTTTACATGCACCATCATCAAAGTGGACAGAGAAGTCACTTTGAATAAGTTGTCCAACACTTAGGAGATTATGAGAAAGATTGGGAACATAAAGAACATCTGTGATGAGTTTCTTGTTACCTTCTTTAATTTGGACAGCAATGGTGCCTTTTCCTACCGCATCTCTACATGTTCCATCGCCAAGAATTACTTGTGAAGTAATATTTGGATTAAGGTCCACAAAGATGTCGCGATTTCCCGTCATGTGATTGCTACAACCGCTATCCAAATACCAAGGGCTTTGAGCTCCATTTTCATAATTTTGAGAATAAAACAGAATTTCCTTTTCATTCTCTTGAGAAAAGTTTGCTGCACTTTTTCTTTCTGTCATCTCTTTATTTTGAAACCAACAATCCCTTTGAGAATGATTGGGGATCTTGCACCTTTTGCATCTAAAGTAGCACTCCTTTGATTCATGATTCATTTTTTTGCAAATTATGCAAGTTGGATTGTTACCACCAGAAATTTGTGTTTGCTTGCCTTTCCATTTGCTTTGCTTGTCACCCTTCTCCCAATAGTTATCTTTTTGTTTTGTTTGATTTGAGCCTCTGTTGTGTTCTCCATAGTTGTTCGATCCTCCTTTTGATGTTTGCTTTGATTGGAAAGCTTGTTCGGTAGTGGATTGGTTACTCGAACGATTGATCCTTTGCTCATGGGCAAGAAGTGACCCGGTTAACTCATAAATGGTCATTTTGGACAAGTCTTTCGATTCTTCAATTGCAGCTGCAACATGGTCAAACTTTGGAGGAAGGCATCTTAACATTTTCTCCACGACTCTTTTATCTGTAATTGTGTCACCACAGCTTTTGATTTGATTTACTGTCTCGGCTACTCGTGAAGAAAAAACACGAACCGATTCTCGTTCTTCCATTTGGAGATTATCAAAGTCTCTCCATAAGGATTGAAGTTTCAAGGCGATCGTTTTCTCCGTTCCTTGTTGAATATAGCGGAGAGCCATTGCATCTTTTCTTTTAAATTCTTTTTGCAATTTTTCGTAATCTTCATTGTCTTCGGATGGTTCTTCGTACTCCTCATCGTCAATGACATCCCAAAGATCTAAGGAGATGAAGAAAGTTTGCATTTGGATGCTCCAGTATTCATAATGCTCGCCTTCGAAGATTGGGACTTGACTGGAAGAATATGTAAACAACGAAGCTGTTTGTATGAAAGCCATGAAAAAAATGCAATCAAAAGTTATGGCTCTGATACCAAATTTGTTAGTGCGGAAACGAAGTGTTGAAGAAAAACTTGAATTTTTATTGATAGTTTTTGAGTTGCTACAGCACACTCAATAATGTTTTCTTCTTTTTTTTCTTTACAATGAGACTATAAGAATGACCTCTATTTATAGGACCACATGGATAACTCTAGAGACATGAGAATATAAATGAACACCTAATAATTCATGAATTTGCATCATGTATTTTCCTGATACATTTTCTTCAAATGCATCATGTATTTTCCTGATACATTTTCTTCAAGTGCATGTAACCTTATTTATTTCCTAAGATTACAAATTAATGCCACATTTAACAGACATTATGTGCAAAAAATAATAATAATAAATAACATAAATCAGTAGGTTAAAAGAAAGGAGTTCGGCAAAAACTGCCTAAATACCCAGAATACAGATTTGAGGCTAATGCCTTCCTTTCCAATATATCCCTAATATGTTTTCCCTGTAGAATTTCCAACATCACAGAGTGCAATATTGCACTTTTCCTAAAGCATGAATGTCAAAGTTGGTAGCACATTTCTAGGATAAATATTATCATCAGCATTTTGAACCTAAAGCACAATGACCAGGCAAATGAATAGATTAGTAATTATTATTCTCAGAGATAAAATAGAATGCATCACGTTGTACTCTTCAAAGAATCATGATTTTCATTAAACAATCTCCCCATGTTCATTTGTAAAATAACTTTATTACTTACTTTTCACACATCACTATGTTCTTAAGAACTGAAACATAACGTCTGGTACGACCCAACATCATCAAAGATTGTGTGAATGAAAAATCTATAAGGATGGTTGCGAATTTTATTATCATATTAGCAAATATACACTTGGAACCCCCAAACTATAACCTTCCACCATAGTAGAAGTTATAAAACCAGCATAATATGATCACAGTAACTTATTCATTATGTGTTGACGAAATAAACCTTCAAAGAACATATATATAACTAAGACAGAATAAAGAATATAGAATTCAAAACTAAACACCACAGCTGATTTTAGGAGCAAAGAACCCTTACCACTGTTGCCATTAGATTCAAGTTCACGACTCTCTGATCTCTTCTTCAAACGAACCTACTGAAACTGTAAAAGAAAAGAATTGTACATTAATCTCCATAAAATAGATATACTCAAGAATGATAAGGAGATGGTGTGTTCACTCTTTTGATAGAGAGAGGATTGTCAAAATCTAAAAGAAATTACAAGTAAATGACAAATATTTCATCAAAAAAATAAACCACATAATAAATTCAATTTCCAAAGGAAACACACGGAATAAGTTGAAATTCATACGTTTGCAGAAGATAAAACAAAGCACACATTATGTTAAGAACATAAACTAACAGGAAAATATTGACAGACTAAATAAAAAAAATAAAAACAATAATAAATTAATTGGTAAAGACAAAAGATCCCAGTGTTATGGGTCTACTTTCTGATGCTCCAAAGTAAATCAAGCCCTTAACTTCTTCATTCTTATAAACAATTATTCTTCCTTTATGTTCAATAAATGCATTTAAAGTTCATACATGTTTATTCGCATTTTCTTTCACACGTCTTTAAGAAAAAAATGCACAACAATGGCTTAATACCAGAAACAAAGTGGAAATGTTTTGATGCTATATTAGCATGTTTCAGCTAGGTTAGATGATACATTCATTGCCTCTTTTCTCATGCTAGAACAAAGTGACATTTACTTCGTTCAATTGGCAAGTCTGACACTCTCTTAATTGGTCCTTTTCAAATAAGCGTCACCCATTACTTCCCACAAAATATTTAACACGTTGTATGACATCTATGATTCATTTATAACCTTCAAAAATATATTTTGAATGAAAATAGAGTTCTCTCATTTTCATAGCTAAAGTTACTCAACAATACAAATAATTGACTGGATTATTTTCATAGCCAGAGTTCTCCTAATTTCATAGCTAAATTTACTTTCAGCTCCAAGGCAATCACTTGTTTGTAGAATATTGTTTGCTTTGCCAGTTTTAACTTTCTTTCCACCCGAAATTAGATTCATGCTACTACACTTAAAAGCAATTGTGGGTAATTCATCTTTAAGATACTTGATCTACTTCTCAGCAGCTTCTCCTGTCGCCAACTCCTTTGGATTGGACCAGCTTTCCAAATTATTTCCTTCTTTTGAGCTGCCTTTTAGATGCTCTTTTGGTGAGAGGGTTACTATGGTATATCTCAATATAAGTATTTTAACATAAAGAGAGCAATACCATGATCTCTTTAGTAGGTTCTGTAAAAATATATGTGATTATCAAAATAAATTTCTATTTGTTAGGCCAGACTAAACATTAAAGGCGCATTGTCTTTCAAATTAACAAAAACAAGACAAGTATATTCACTTTAGAAAATTGGCATGTGACGGAATTGCCATTAAGTATCGATGACAAAAAGTCTTATCCTGCATTAGCAAAATCCAAGGAGCTCAAACCAAATGAAACATCATATTTGAATTCTTGACATGCAATTGAATAACATCGAGTATGAAGAGAAGACGATAAAAGTACCTACTTGTAAAACATGATCAATTTGTTCATCTTCGCTTCTGGGCAGTCTCTCCATCATAATTGAGTAATAGGATCTCTCTTCTATGGGATTTTCTAGTTCGTCTGCAAGAAATGCGGTAATAACTACAATAAAAAAAAATCATATGACTGAACTAAAGACTCATTGTTTTACGTTACGCTTGATCTGAAAGGACCTCAAAATGTATCTTGCAGTGGAACAAATCAAACAATTTCATTAGATGAAATACAGAAGGGGAAAGAAAAACTAAGTTCATTTCATCCCTATATATTTGGATTCTAAAAGATTAAATTACACAGAGCAGAGGCATAAACTACTGCGCTATCATTAGATTATCAATAGTTGATCAAACTTTTGATGATGAAAAAACTACTGCGCTATCATTAGATTATCAACAGTTAATCTATATAGTTTTGGCTATTCGGTTTTGTGGCCAACCTAATTGCCTTGTCGTTCAACTTTTATTTATTATTATTATTATTATTATTATTATTATTTGCCCTTTCTGATTTTGATTTTAAATTGTGCTATCCTCTTATTAACTAGCTGATGCATAATTAATTATTTCATGTTTTCAATGCATTTCTACGAATCCCCGTTGCCGAATGATCTCTTCCGTTTATTAGTAAAAATTGGGTTGTGCCACTTTAATAGGAAGTAGTTGATAGATGGGGTGACATAATGTTAGTTGGGAAAATATGATTGGATAAAAAGTTGAATGTATTTAAAATGGTCCAATGACGAAATGACATTTGGTATTATGTCAGTTATTATATTACTGTGGCATAATTCATAAAAAATTGGTTTTAAAAAAAAAGGACAACCAATACGGAAGACCAGTTTATTTGGGATACGTCTTAATTAATTATAATTTCATTTTAAAATTCTCCATGGATACAAATTATAAATAATTTATAAATATTATTTTAATTATCTAATTCTTTTAATTCTCGTTTGATAGAGATTAAAATTTTAATTTTAATTAAATTAAAGTAGAGTAAGTAAATGTTTTATGAAATTCATAACTTTTCTACCACACATTTTATTAAATTTCATTTATTAGAATATATCAAAATTTTGATTTTAATTCTCACTGAACACGAGCTTATTATTTCTTTTACATTTTATAGGATCCATTTTCCTTTCTTACCATATGGTATTTGCTTCGTCCATGTTTGGGCTCCATTAAAAAATAATTTTTGGGAAAAAATGTATTTGAAATAATAATTTTTAGAATAATGTGCGGTTAAGAAATAAATTAAATTTTTGGATTTATGTGTAATATTATTTTACTCTTGTTTGTTGGTCATCATTGAGAAAAATGATGTTTGATGTTTTGTATAATGATTTTTTTGAAAATGTGTGAATAAAAATATGAAAAATTTTAAATTTACGTGTAAAATATTTTATTGTATAAATGCGTGGTTGAAAATGAATATGAGAATTAAAGAATTTGTTTTTAAAGTGGTACAAGCAAGGGTTGATGAATGTGTGGATAAAAAAAATATATTTTATGAAAAAATGGAGCCCAAACAAGGGCGAACCAATTAAAGATTAGAAATTAAAATAATTTGTTATGCCTCACCACATGTGGCACCGAGACCAGAACCCCACCAAGGCCCTCTTATTTGCCTCCTTTTATCCACGTGGCAAAAATGTCGATGCTTATTGGCGAAGTAGCTGACAGCATTGGAACCATCTCAATTAAAACCCACTCATGAGCAATGAGGCTAGAAAGTATAGTCTGAGGCCCATCCTTTCCTCCTTGCTTAAGTTCTGAGTTCTAAAGCATGCAACCTCAGAAAAGTTTGATGCCCCTCCACTTGATGCCAACCTACGCAAGGGAGAACTTGGATCTATGTACGAAATCTTTTAGGAATAAATGATGGGATGCTAATAATGAGTATGAATGTCAAGTATTGTCAACAAAAAGTGACAGTTCTATGTAAGCATTGAGTGTACCGTAGGCTAGCAGGTCTAAATTGATGCCTATGATTAGATGTTTGAATTAAAGAGATGAAGTCACGTATACTTTTATCCAAGAATCACCATTTCACTTGCAACACTATAAATACCCCCCCCCCCCCCACAATTGATTTAACGCATTTGAATCCCGTTTCGTTCCAATTCAGAAGAAACCCTAGAATTATTATTAGAAATTCACATTTAAACTCCTCCTCGGATGATTCAACCCGACCGGCGTTCCGCATTTCGTCGGATTCAGCTCCGAGAGCCCGATTTTTGGCCCGACGGACAGAGTCTGTTTCCGTCCGACAACTCCAACGCCCACTGAGTAATATTTCTATATGTTTTACTGGAATTGTATGAAGCGATGATGATTGTTTTTTTTTTTTTTTGTTTTCCCATTGATTGTTTTAGTTGAGTATATGAGCCTGCCGGCGAGCCAGTACTCGGTGCTGGACGCGGAGAGAATAGAGCGGGTGGATGACAACACCTTCAAGTGTTATGTATACAGATTTAAGTTTTTTGCATTTGAAGTGTGCCCAGTTTTGTTGGTGAGAGTCGACGAGCAGCCTAATGGTTGCTGCATTAAGCTCTTGTCTTGTAAGGTATCTACCTTGTTTCGCTTGCCTGCTTGAATTCACACACAAACACACAGTTGAATAGTTCACGTCTATTTTATTGTTTTATTGATGATTCTCTTGGTACTTGATTAATTAACTTTGATCTTAATTGCAATTAACAGCTCGAAGGCTCTCCGATTGTTGTTGCACAAAATGATAAATTTGATGGTTAGCATCTTCCTCCAGTGCATTCTCATAATGAGTTCATTTTAGTACCTTTCTACTTCCTAAAATGGATTTTGGTTATTTGGCTTTTGTTTTGGCATCAGTCGGCCTCAGTTTGGAAAGAATTTATAAAGTTTGTCCATATATGAAGTTTCCAATATGAGGCTTGATGAATAGATGTGTCTAATTTTCACAAGAATATTTACATCCTAATAGCTGCAATTAACATAATTTGACTGAGAAATGTTGGCCAGAATATGGTGTCTCAATTAGAGGTTGTTTAAGTTAAATTTGTTGTTGATGTGGAAATGAAATCAACTACTTCAATTAGTAGAATGACAGTATAATTTAAAAATGGCATAAGTTGTCCTCACTGTGTCCTATAATTAATTCGTTAGTCTCTTTGGTGTTTTCTTATCTGTGTTTTTATTGTGGGAAATATAGAATTAAAGAAATAGAGCTAACAATTGCAGCTGTTTATGCTCCAAATATTTACTTGTCAATGTGAGGTCAAATGCTACCTATCAATATATTAAACCATTATCATAAATATGAATGCAATCAAGTCTTAACGTCTTAAACCTGCTTTTGTAACAAATTCACTTGTCAACATGAGGTCAGAGGTCAGACGATACAAATCATTATATGAACTATGCAGGGGATGTGCATAGTTTTTGCAAAGAAGAGCTTGATTTGATCTTGGTTGAACTACATCTTCTTTATGGATATTATGACTTACAGTTTTGAAGATTATGAATCACGCAGCGAAGATTTTTTCCTTGAATACTCACAAATGATAACATTCATGCCGTTGCTTGTTTCCTGGAATATGGTCATTTGATCGTGTTTAGGGTCATTTAATACTGAATTCTACAACATAATGCTTTTCAGGAGTTCTTTGACACTAATTTGGTATGGGCATGCAGCTTCAATGGAGAATAAGATATCATGTGATAGCAAACAAAGTGATTCAAAAGTGCAGCGACTAACTTCAGATGCAGTCATTGAGGTAATGATCCAAAAATGCCTCACTTCAAGTTGTAAATAATATGTATAGTAACATGGTTCTGCTTAATACAGCTGCTGTTGCTATGTTAAACGCAGGTCAATATTGAAATTCCTTTTGCTTTTCGAGCTGTTCCTGCACAGGTCATTGAATCAACTGGTTCCCAAGTCTTGGAACAGATATTAAAGATCATGCTTCCTCGATTTATGACGCAGGTCTGCAAGTGTAGATGTGTTATACTGTTTCTTTAACCATATATCCTTTTATGTTATGGTAGTTTTGGCTCCAGTAATACATGCAAGTGCTAGAATCTGTTGCCTACAAGCTTCAGGATGAAATTTGAAGAGATTATAGGAATTGGCATTTTGTGGCTAACTTTACACTGCTTTTGGTTGAGAGTATCTCCTGGAGGCTGTTTATTAACCATGTAATTTCTATCTCAGAGAGTCAGTTCTCAGTTAAAAATTAAACTAAGAGTCGATTTAACTTTCCAAATGTAGGGTGCCAAACCCTTCTTTCTACAATACTATTAATACTTCCATTTATTATTTCATAACTTTACATGCATTTCTTTGGAGTGGAAAAAAGAGAAAGTGTTGATCAATAATTATTATGGGAAAAAGCAAAGATAATATAAAGAGTGTTGTTGGGCTTGTATAAAAAGTTCTACTCTTTATATATGCTCTTAATAAAGATTTTGCAGAATGAAGACGTCAATGATTGGGCAAGTGATAAAGGATTTAGGGTGAAAGTTAGGAATTGAAATGAAAATTAAGTAGACTTCTCATGCAGTCGCACCAATGTTTTAGAAAACTGTGGCTGGCCTTGATATGGACAAAACAAATAATGATTTAGTTTTATCTCCAATCCACTGGCATGTGAATTATGTATTTGTTTTTTATTTATAATTTACGTCTGTCTTCACGATTTGCTACTAATTTTGCTTCTTTTTAACTTCACAATGCCAATTGGCCATAAAAAAATTCCATACAGGGAACTCAGAAATTCTTACTCCTGTTTGGCAAATAAATCAATTAATGAAGAGGAATAGTAGTTAATCCTATGAAATGTGTGGATAATAAATGAATAGTAGTTATGAATGTGTGGTTGAAATTAATGTTTGAATTTGACTAAATTTATAAATTGGTTGCCAAATGGAGGCTTACTTTTTTTCCAGACAAAGGTCATGTATGATATTGACCCTGTTGTTTGTTTTTTGCCAATGAAATCTTATAAGGATAAACATTTTACCTTGAATACAATTAGGGTTTAATTTATACTGATGTTCCCATTATTTTTATGAATAATTACTATTAAGCCTATGCGTGGCCCCCCATTTTTTCAAAAATTCATTTTCAACCACACATTCTCATATAAAATAATTTTACACGTAAATCAAAAACTTTTCCTTACTTTTTAATCACACAATCTCCAATAAAACACTGTTATATAATGCATTTTGACAAAAAAAAAAGGGGGGGGGGGGGGGGGGGGGAAAAGAAGGGAAAAAATATTCTTCTCCTGCTACATAATGCATTATAATTTGTTCAACTTATTATCATGGACTTTTCTCAATAGAAAACGGAGATTGCCATTAATATACTTGTTAAATCTATAATTTTTGTTTGGAAAGTTTGAGTTGACTGTAAAATTAATAGTTAGAATAGAAATCGTAATGATTTATGAATACTAACCAAATTTTATTCTTGCAGAAAAAAAAAAAAAAATAACACGTAAATCAAAATAAATGCTCAAACAAGGGTTAAATAATTAATTTACATACTAAAGTAAAATTTGTAATTCGAGTTTTGTTGGAAGATCTTTACCATTCTGCAGCTGACACTAGGGTGGTTTTCAATTCTCTGTCAATAACTCAGAAAAAAAGGAAAATGCTAAGGTTATTATGTAGCCTATAACATGCCATGTGAACTTGTTTATTTGAGACATGCACGTTTATAAATTTTGTCTGTGAGAAATCTATCTGATTTGTTGAACTTCACGAGTGACTGCAGATCATAGTGAGAGGACAAGGAAAAAGAAACAGGCAGGTTTTAATAATTTAATTTCAGTTTAATAGTCACGTACTGTCATATATAGTTAGTATAATATGCCCTCATATTAAACCAATTAAGGATATCAACATACCAACCATCATTTTGAATGAGCAATAAGGTATGGTGTCTAATGAATTTTGCATACAAGTGCAAGATGAAATATACGGCAGAGTATTCCTATATGTACTATCTTTGCTTCGTGAAAGGAAAATTTCTTCAGTCAATTGTGTGATTTCCAAATTTTAATGAAAACCAGTGTAAGTACATGCATTTCATGACATCTATAGACATTCTATTTGTTACATGTCACAAAACTCAGTCAAACCCTACATTTTTTTCCTAGCCTGTTAAACCATAAGGCTCATTCAGAAGTATGTTAATCTCGTATCATATGGTTCCCTAGCATACACTATTAAGTTTGAGACTGGACGGTTCCCCTCTCCCTGGGTAACTTTTGCTATTCCAAGATTTTAGTAACATTGATATTTCAATTTAAATTTCAAGCATACATCTGCTTCTTGACTATGTGAAGTTTATTTGAGTGTATGTGATCTATGATGCCAATGGCATTCTGGAGATCCCAATGATCATCTGCTGGTGAGTCTTAGATTATAAAATTTTCTTCTAAAAAAAACAGTATTCAAGCTATGTAGAGTGCTTAAATAAAATTACAATGACTAAAGTAAGTTCCCTTACTTCTGTTTGTAGATAGTTTAGAATCTATATGCATTATAAGAAAAAGCATTCAATCTTCCATAAGTTATGAAAAACTAGGGGGATATTAGGAATAGGTAAGACCTATCTTCTTCCTAGTTCTCTGTTTGTTGTTGGTTCTTTTGATGTTGAATCTGATTTTTGTTTCTCGCTATGTTTGTCTTTATTTCATGTATTCCAGTAACACGTATTTTTTTGTACCATTTGCAGTTAATGAAGGATTATCAAGCTTGGGCTTCGGGGGACACTTCAAGGCAACCTCTGGGAACTGGTCAGATTTAAGATAGCTGTAGTCGACTTCAAGCCAGCTATTTTGTATTCCATTTCTGTTGTATGAGTTAGGACAGATTATACTGTTGAGGGAAACCAACAGATGAAAACATACATCTAGGGGACTTAAAAACAAAAACTAGAGGTACTAGCTGCAGCCCAGCCAGCTGAGATGCTAGCCCGTTGGCGCCTCTAATTTAGGCAATGTAATGAAGATGATTTTCACTCTTTTAGTTATGTCCCACCATGCGTGTGGATCAGTATGCCTTACAAATGTGCGGTATGCTCATGTAAGTGATATCATGTGCAGTATAATGAATACGATTTTTACTCATTTTGATTTTCTCATGCACATATATCAAATACTACACTCTAAATGATAATAGAGATTGTGAAGTACTGAACTATCTTTTCCTTTTAATTCTCTTCATGTGCACATTTCTTAGGTAATCCCAAGAGATGAAACCGGAAAGTAAATTCAAACTTTCAATACATTTTGAGTTTATCTATGCTTGGTAACTTTGAGCGTATTATTATGTTGGTGCCCATTTCCTTTTGATACGAGATTTTGGTTGATGAGATTTACCATTTTTTTTATTTGGTTGATGAAATTTTGATCCAATCAAATGCTGCGACATCATTAGTTGGTAAATAAATTTGTAAGTAATGACATACTTGTAACACGACCATAAATATGAAGAGCATGTTGAAGTACTTAAAAATATTTATTCTTTAAATTTATAGATGCTTTTTAAATTATGAAATATGCTATTTAAAAATAGAGTAAAATGCTCTTAATATTTAATTTGTTACAATTGTTTGAAAAGGATACAATTAATTATAAGTGTTTTAAGGATTCCAACGTTCAATTGCTATCAAATTATTGCATTTCTTAAACCTTCTTGACTTGAAATAAAAGCTACTCTTTCTTTCTAGAGAATTTGGTTCGCCAATAATAATGTTGACATTCGAAAATGGTCAACAAGTGTCGTTAAAGGACGATGTACACGTGGGTGTAGTTAACCGTATGTAAATGGTAAACAGTATGTTTGTAGAAGAAGATGAACAGTAGACAATGGATGTATATTATATTCTCTTGTCCATATATTCTCAAGATCTCTTTAATTGATACAAGAATTGCTTATTTATAGTGACCAGATGGATGTGGTTATCGTTGGATTGGATCCACGTGGTCTGATCTATTAAACCCTTTGTGTCACATCAACTCTTTTCCACATTAATTACATTGATAGATATTTGACAAGAGGTCAGTCACTCTACAAACCTAGGCTGACATTCCTGACACTTATTAATTCTACATGTCACATCAGATCACATCAGTAGTCGATTCCAAAGACATGTTTGCCCGATCCTCTTCTGATTGTAAAGGACTTCGAATACTAAGGAGTTCGGCAGCAGAAGATAAACCATCTCAGAAAGAATAATAGAGTCACTTCGGCTGTTCTCAATGAAACAACCTAGGCGTTTAATGTGACAACTTAGAATGTTGATCCCTTTTGCATGCTTACCACGTGTCCACATATGAGGGCTCCCACGTGGGTCATTTCGTATGATTAGTAACATCAACCCCCCAAATCTATGTGCAATCATTCATGGGGTATATAGAATTTACAATCTCTTGATCAACTTCGGACAAGGGAAGAAATCCATAGTACCAGTCTCCCAAGTCTAATTGTTTACATATTTTCATAAATCTACCAAATGTCTATGTCAATGACTATCAGGACAGGGGCCGAGGCATATGTGCCTCGTGTATATAAGTGGCCTTTGTTCAACGTATGTAGGGAGCCGAAGTTATAAACACCCAAGCTGCCGAATGTAAAATTAAAAGTGGTTTGTACTGTTGCTGAAGTGGTTAGAGTGTCAACCAAAGTTGCATACTATGGGAGACGGTCTTGGGTAGTTTGAACGTCTTTCATCATTTATTACCACAGATTGCTATGTTGCCGTTTGACCGTCCCGATGAGGACGGTGCTCTCAATTTTCAATGTATTCCACGTGTTTTGATTTGGGCCTTGAAGCTGAAACATTGGTTTCATCAAATGGTCTATAAGTGACCCGAATTCGGAAGGTCCAAATCTTTAAGATCCGACGGTTAAAAATGCATGTGTTTGCCTATAAAAGGCTTATTCTTGTTTGAACATTCATTTGCTGCTGTAACTTGCTTTGTCTCGTTTTTTAGCAATATGACCAAAAATCATACTTGGTAGGTTTTGAGGAGAGTTGATGTGAAGGATTGCTTGATTTTGGATAATGCTATGGAGAGTGCAAATTGGGTGGTCCTTGGGTGCGGTGTACAAGATGCTTGGATTCATAAAAATGGAAATGCAGCCTTAGCACAATCTTCTTTGAACGCACTCGGGCAGTGCTGAAGTGTGGAGGATCGCTCACTGCCTTAAATAAATTATGTTGCAAAAAGGTGCAAATTCCATCCGAAGTGCCCTGGGTCGCACTACGAGGATCCACAAGGATTGGTACCAACCCACCTCCCCTGAGCATCTAGGTTGTTTCCTTTGCCAACATTTACTAGACAAAGTGTATTGTAGCCATAGCTTTAAGTTTCAACATGGTTCGACAAACCTCGCGATTGTAAAGGTTGCAGTATATGGCAGACGTCCTAAAAATAGGGGGTCTAGCAGTCTATGTGTAGTGATTATGCTTTGTCATTGTTGATTATTTTTCGTTGTTTTGCGAGTGCATTGTAATACTTTGTAAGTGGCTCTGATTGCCCTTGATTATAATGTGTTTGTAGTAATGAATAAATTTTTTACTTTTTTATGCGAATTTTTGTTCAAACTGGACTTCAAAATTGTTACTGCTTCATAGTTGGGGGGTGTTTTGAGAAGATCGTAGCCTTGATGTAGTTTTCCTTTGATTTTTACCCTTTCATAGGCGACTTTTGTGCCTTTTCACGAAGGTTGGCCTTATAAGGTCCAACCCTTTTCATTATTCTACCCTTAAGGGCTCATTTTTTATTCTTGAGGTGGACCCCTTCCGGCTCCAACTTCCCTCATCGAGGTGCCCCCTCTTGGACTGAACCTCGTAAGCATTCGCTATTTGAGCTCATATTCTGAAGTGCCTTTATGAGCTGAAGCCCTTATTTGGCTACTTTTGTTCCTTCAAAGGAACATTCCGAAGTGTCTCTATGGGCCGATGCCCTTCTTTGGCTACTTTCATTCCTTCAAAGGAACATTCCGAAGTGCCTCAATGGGCTGATGCCCTTCTTTGTGGTGTGGAGTAGACCATGTCATGTCACGTGCCCAGAAACAGGGTAAGATAACAAGTATAATGGTGCTGGTAAGAACGGTTTAAAGGGTCGTGAAATATGCTAGCCTTGTCGTTACATACAAGCTATCGGTCTATCGATTATTCTAAATTCAAAAGTAGATGTTAAAACAATGGGGATCTAAAAGCGACACAATTTTAAAAAAAAAAATTGCATAATGTCTATAGCAAATGTAGCCCAAGGTTCTTGTTGAAGGAAATGAGGTTGTGTGCCGAAGCTGCCTACTTCAAATACATTATGAAGGGAGCTGAGGTCCTTACCTTCTGAAGCTGTGTGCGTATCTTTCAATTTTGCGAGGCTATGCTGATATTTAGTGTATAGTCCTCCTTTCTAGGGTATCTGCGTGTTTTGGGGGGTGGTTCCATGTGTGGTCTTCCCTTATCATTTTCTGCATTTGGCGCCTCGACCGAGGTGATTTCATATTTACCTCTTCTTTGAACAGACTTTTTTTACATGGCTCGTTTTGAGGCTATACTTAGGGCAGTGGTATGCCCTCTTTGACCCAATCTGATTCTCTTATTCAGATGGGGCTGAGGTTTTTAGCCTCGGAATAGCAGGATTAGCCTTCACCTTTTGAGCCAAAGCTTTTTTAGGTAATATAATTCTATGAGGCTTATGCTTAAGCTGCTTTAACTAAAGAGGACATCAAATCTCACTTTTCAATTGTCGCCGTTGAAGGGTCAGCTTTTGCTAGCTAATGTTATTGGGCCTGCCTCAACAATTATATGCCTTAGCGCCTCTTTCCACAGGAGGAGCTAATTCGAGAAAGCCAAAATTGGCGCTCGTTTTTTCAGACGAGGCCTTTTGTCTTTCTCATGAGAATAGTACTTATAACTTCTGTCTCCTGACTATATCTCTTGGATGGGATGGGAAAAATAGCATATCACTTTTTTGTGGGATTTATATCCTTAGTTTACCGACTTACTGCGAAGCTCGGCTCATGTCAGTCAGGGATGTGAAGTCTAGCCAAGTAGTTATATGTCTTAGAGCCTCTTTTCTGCGAGAGGGCTTTCCTGGGCCTATGCCTTTTCTCCTCGCGTGATCAATCTTGGTTGGTCCATATCCAAGTTAGTGCAGCTCGTCTTTCACACCTATTCCTAGGCGAGGGATGCGTGTAGAGAGCTCATCTACGGTTTCCAGTTGAGGTTGTCCATGCTAATTTTCTTCTAAAAAGAAGTTGAACAGGCGTGCCCTTTTCAAGGAAATAGGAGGGCCTTGGCTTGAGCGGGCGGAATGGGGAGTCGACCCCGTCTGTTTCTTGTAGGACCAAGTCTATCGAAGACACTAGCCTATCTCCTTGGCGCGTTAGCCCTGCTGCATCCTAAGGGAACGACAAGTCTCCTCAATTATTCGGCCGCAGTCAACAACCATGTCTACATTCACCTCTCTTTGTAGTGGAAGGACCTCTTCATTTTGTGAGGAGTTGGCCAGTTGACTTTGCATGCAATTTAGTAGTTTTCGCATTGCAACGCTTTGTCAAGAGATAGTCCTCACGTTTAAGGTGACGGTGGCCAACTCTATGGTGAGCCTTGCTGCTAACCTAGGTCTGCTCCTCAAGTCACTTCTTTGGTGGCGGACCACGGGGGTGGTTGGCAATGGCTCCTGGATTATTGGGGCTCTATGTGAGGATGTCTCCTCGCCAACGCGTTCTTTAGCTTGCCTTGGTGCGATTTCTTTCTTTTTCGAGCTCATGGCTGTCCCTTCTTGGTGGATAGCCTTTCTTTTGCTCCGTTTCAAGAGTTGTTTTCCTTTATTCAAGGATTTATCCTTTTACTTAAAGGTTCTCCTTCTTAGCCTTTTCTGAAAACTCGAATTTTCTCTTTCTATGGATTTTCGTGGTTTAGCTACTCCAAGCTTCTCACAGACGGTGCCAATTTGTTAACTTTCGAAAATGGCCAACAGGTGTTATTAAAGGACGATGTACACGTGGGTGTAGTTTACCATATGTTAATGGTAAACAATATATTTGTAGAAGAAGATAAACAGTAGGCAATGGAAGCATATTGTATTCTGTTGTTCATATATTTCCAAGATCTCTTTAACTAATACAATAGATGCTTATTTATAGTGACCAAGCCGACGTGGTTACAGTTGGATTGGATCCACGTGGCTTGATCTACCGATCCTTTGTGTCACATCCACTCTTTTCCACATTAATTACATTGATAGACTTTTAACAATGAGTCAGTCACTCTACAAATCTAAGCTGACGTCCCTAAAACTTATTAATTGCGTACGTCACATTAGTAGTAGACTCTGAAGACGTGTTTGCCCGACCCTCTTCTGGTTGTAAAGGACTTCGGATGCTTAAGGAGCTTGACAGCAGAAAATAAACCACCTCAGAAAGAAGAATAGAGTCACTTCGGCTGTTCTCGATAAAACAACCTAGGCGTTCAATGTGACAATTTCAGATGTTAATCCCTTTTGCATTCTTGTCACATGTCCACATATGAGGACCCTACGTGGGTTATTTCGCATGATTAGTAACAAATAACAAAAGAGAAAAAAAGAGAGAATAATTGTAATGCCGCATGTGAATAGGGAAGCACATTATTGATTATTGTTTTTTTTTTTTTTGGGTATTTGAAAGAAGTGATAATTAAATTCAATGGATTACTATGTTTTTATAAACTTTAATATATTATTTCGTAAATATAAAGTGAAAAAGGTGTCAAAATTCATTCAGTTTTGCTACAGTGATAAACTCATCAACAAACTCAAAATATGGGAGGACAGGTATCAACACATAATTGAACATTTGACAGGAAAATAATAATAAAAAAATAAAAAGCAACAACAACAACAACAACAACATATGATGAGGTGCTACCACCTCACCTGTCATCTCACCCTGTTAAAATCTCCTGTTCGAGGAGCATTATTCAAATTTATTTAGCAAACACACTTTTTAAATGAGTCGCACTGAATTGTTTTATACTCGTAAAAATAGTTATAATTTTACCTTGAATATGTAATTAGTTAATTAATTTTTGGAACCGTAAGGGGAATTTCACGTGCTTGACTATTTTAATCCTCAACCTCAAACGCTTATTCTAGTGGTTGGTTGTTGAGAAACATGTACATAAATTTGAATTATTCTAGACGGACATGCCCAACAAATGAGGGAACATGCGTCCCCCTAGACGAACAAGGCCAACGTGGCCCTGTCTGTCTATCATCGCTGCATAAATTTTAGACAGCTTAGCTTTGTACTCAATTTTTATTTTTATGAGCAACAATAAATTTAACTATTTCCCAATTAACAAAAAAAACCATTTAAATACTCATCAAATTTTGGTTACGTTTCTCATACTTTGAATATAAACTCAAGGCCATGTTAAAATGAAAAAGGATTAGATGAAAATAGACCAAAAATCTCGTGGTATTCAGATCATAAAAAATTATTGATTTACTTCAGCATGTGAAAAAAGAAATGAGTAATATAGTTTATTTTAAGTATTACTTTTAAATTACTTAGCCCCTATTTGATGATCATTATTGAGAAAAAATGATATTTTGAATTAAGGATGAACATGGTTACATTTGGTTCTAGTTCTAAGAAAACCGAATCAGGAACCAATTGTTTTTTAGAATGGAATCGAACCATTTGCTTCTGGTATGGTTTGGTTTGATTCTAGTTATATTACTAATTGGAAAAAAAATAGAGAGAGAGAGAGAGGCTTAAAATTTTAGAAATCCATGGGCGGTGGTGGCTGAGTGCGACGACAGACGACATTTGTTGGTATTCACGTGAGAGTCGACGTATAAATTGAAAGGGAAAGAAAATGATAAATAATTAGGTATGAAACTTCAAAACGAATTAAGGCTTCTAGTCTTCACAAAGAGAAATGAGAAACCGAAAGTTATATGACCTTTTTGTTTTGATTTTCAATTGAGTTTTGAATTTTTTGTATGAATTGTGATTCAATAATTTGTAAAAAATTATATGTATATGAAAATAATAAAATTTGTAAATTGAATTTGATTCTTGGTTTGGATCTTAGTTCTACTAAAACTAGAATCGAACCAAAATAACCAAATGATTCTCAATTCTAAGATCCAAATGATTCTCAGAACTAATAATTTCTTTTGCAGAACTAAATCGATTAATTTCTTTTGCAGAACTATATCAATTAATGCACACAAACTTGACCAAAATTCGGTTCGACAATTCACTGTCCAAATGGTCCAGACCGATTTTTATCACTAAGATATATTGGAGGGAAAATTTCATAACTAAGAGGATAACTATTACCCATTTCAAGAGTAAGAATACAAATTTCAAAATCAGATATTCATTAAAATTTATTTATAACTTAATTAATTAATTATATATTTTATTAATTAAATATATTAAGGTCATGGATCAATACAATTTGGTCACAGATTCACAATTTAATTAGTCACATTATTTTTCGGTCACAAATTAAAATTTTTTAATGTTACAAATTATTTTACGGTCATAATTCAAAACTTTTGTAGGTCACAATTTGTTCATCGATAACAGATATAAAAAAATTATACGTCATAATTTATTTATATGTCGCAAATCACAAATATTATAGGTCACAACTTATTAAACACTCGCAAATTATTAATTTTTTAGGTCACACATTACTTTTTTTGTTACAACTTTTCTTTCTTATCGGTCATATATTGTTTATTGGTCACAGATTAACCAATTTAATGGTTATATTCAACCAATTAATCTGTGATCACCACCAAACAATCACTACCTTCAACATCACCAATGCCACCATCACCGCCATCACCTTACAGCAACACCACTGTCTCAAACAAAATCAACACATCCACCTCCATAGACCACAGCCACCAACATCTCACCTTCACCACCGCACCACTGCCACAACCACCGCCATCGCCACCCTCAAAACATGGAAGCTTCCACAACCACATTCTTAACATCCAAAAACCACCACAAAACACCACCACAAAATGAACTCCAACATTATTACCACCACCGCCACAACCACACCAACACCACTGTCGTCGTCATAGCACCACAACCATCACCACCATCACAAGAGACCAACTATAAAACTCTAAAAATCCACCACACCATACCACAATCACAAATCCACCACTACGACCACAGCTATAGCCATCGATGACACCCTGGATGACACTCGACACACATGAGGGTGTCAACCCGGATGTACACATAGCAGAATCGTATATCTGAAGTCTGTCACAGTCTGAGGCCAATGGTGAGGATAGGAGAGGTTCACCTCACTTTATGCTGCAGCATTTAACCACAAGGATGTCAACGTGCTTATAAAGTGAAGTCAAATCTGGAAGTATGTTGGTGCAACGCAACTTGTCCGCATTGACTTTGAATTAATTCAACTTGAATAACATGGAGATTTTATATTATTTTATGGGGAATTATAAAAAATGTCACTTTTTTTGATAATGCACAAAAAATTTGTTTGTGCACCTAATTTTATCAAAAATGTCACTTTTTTTGTGGGAAATGTCCAACTTACCCTTTATATCCCCTTTTTAGGAGCATTTAATGCTAACTTTTCAATCCAATTAATGTTGTGATTTGATTAGTTAAATTTATATATTATAATCATTGGATATATTAAAATTATTAAATTTATATATTATAATCATTAGTTATATGTATATTCTCCCTTTTTCATGCTTCTAGCAATTGAAGTTATTTGATTTTAAATTTTAAAAATCTGATTTTGAAAAGAATATAAATTCTGGGTTGAAATTAAAAAAAAAAAAAAAGGTAAAGGAGGTTCAATTGCCGCCGCCAACGAGGAGCGCGGCAACGAGCTCCGTGTTTGCCACAAAGCAGCGGCGCTTGTGCTCGCTGCCACTGTCCAGAGCAACGGTACTCCCGCTCGCAGTCGCTGTTGAAATTCAGCAGCGGCGGTCTCTGCCACGCTGTAAAAGGAAAAAAAAATGTTGTCCAGGTTTTTAGCAGATTTGGGTGATTGGAGACGGGGACGCATTGTGCAAATTCATAATTTGCTGGTCTCTGCTTGGAAATTAATATATAAGGTATTCAAATAATTCAGAGGGTCAAAAATGTCTTAAATTGACATTTTTGATAGAAGATTTAAAAAGTGACATTTTTTATAATGCATAACCAAATTTTGACATCCAATGAAATTTCCTATTATTTATTTTATGATATTTATATTATATCCAATTGAAATACAGTGGTGATTAATAACTGGCCGAAGTTTCTGATTTGTATCACCTTTCTAGAATAAATCTGGTAGTGAAGTGGAGAAGAGTCCTGAAACATTCAGATCTGGTAACGGATGTTGGTAAAAGCTGGATGTCTTTCGAGATGACAAATAAAAAGCTGATGCCTGATCAAATTTTGACGTGGGAGAAGAAATTTGTTTCTCTGTATACCAGATAAATGAACTGGATGTAGCAAAGATGATGGATCTGGTAGGAGAAGTGGACATAATAAAGATATGGGATCATGGGAAGAAAATTCCACCGTTGAGGAGGAGATGCAAGCTTGAGTTTCAAACAAAATGTCCATAACTTGCAAAATTGGGGGATGTACTCCAACAAGTGGAGGTGGCCCCAAGAGAATAAAATTATGTAAACAATGACTTAGGTATGTTATGTATAGAGCTAAATTAACATGGTCTTGAATGGTTCTGAGATTTGATTCATTTGCACTTTAGTAGATTTAACGTTGGAGTGAATGTAATAAAGAATCCACATTGCTGACTGGTCTGACCCCGAGTTTCTTTGCTGACAAAATGTAAGGCGCTAATTTTTGTTTGGTCGAGCTTTCTGGGTCTTTATTTGTCACTATTACTGTACTGCAGGTAAATTTGGTTATCTCACCATGGAAGAAGCATTGCTGCTCCTGCTGAAGTTTGAGCTTCCTGGATGCATCCTCCGAAATCAGATAATCTCTGTTTATGGGCTAAAGTTCAGCTAATGGATTTTGTTCAGTCATTAGTCAATGCATAATTTGGGGTAATATTCTTTACACTTTTTGGTACAAGCTTTTTCACGAGGAAAATGTTGCATAAACAATGTACCCCTGTTTGGGCTTCATTTTTAAAAAAATTATTATTCTAAAACTCATTTTTAATGGCACATTCTTTCATAAAATAATGTTATATGTAAATCCAAAACTTTTTCTTATTTTTTAACCACACATTCTTTAAAAATCACTATTTCGAATCACATTTTCCCCAAAAATCTTATTTTAGTGGAGCCCAAAATCTGTTTGCCTTTCATTATACTTGTATGATTTCACAAAAATTATGAAATAACTATTCTCAAAAAAACATGAAATTACTACTGCCTTCAACTTTACAATTCTCATATTTCAAGAAGTTCTCGTCCACTAGCTTGTCTAGTTACTTCTTTTCATGTGCTATTCTTGCCCTAATATCTACTCATAGTCATTATGAGTAGAACCCTTGACACCCAGACAATGACCTTGCATGGTATTATTTACTTATTAGGCTGATTTTGCCAATCAATTTGAACATTTTCTGGCTAATGCAGGTAACTATCTTGCTGATTGTAGTCTTGAGATTTTGGATGATCCTTTGGCGACTACACTGCTCAAGGTACTTAAGTTTCATTAACTTACCTTTCGAATCGTAACATTAGACTTAACTATAGAGTTGGACTTTTTAGCTGGTTGGTCGTCTGTGGCCTTTCTAGTCTTAAAAAAAGAAATATTATGTCTGTGAAAGATTCTATTGTAGAGTTTTTTCTAGGACTGTTGATATTGCATATTAGGAGTCTCTACTCCGGAGGCTAAAATGTACAGCCAGAGTAACTTGTGACTCAAGATATACAGAAGTTACTAAGAAGATCATGGATCACAGACATTAGAAATTTCTTCTGAACTTGACAATTCTTGAGCAAGGGTACTCTATTTGCATCTTGGTATTCAGAGGGAAGTCTTCAATCAAAGGTATTTTCTTTTGCGATATTTCTTATGTTGGTTTGCTGCATGCCCAACGGGATCCATCCTTTATTCGCCCCATATCTCGTGGTATTCAGAGATGCCTCATGAGATGGTGAGGAATGCCTAGGTTTTGAATTTATTAAAATGAAAAATGTAAATGTCATGTGGCATGTGCTAAGTTTTAGTGAGTGCCTCGGCTTGCTCAAGAGCAAATGCACCTGAGTTTCAAAAACTCCTTTCAGTATTGGTGGCAGCATTGTATTCCGCAGCTATCGTCATTTGATGTTTGAAGCTGGGTATAATGCAGTATGTTCAATTCTTATTAGTTGATAATTTTACTTTCATGGTACTAGGAGGTTAACTATTGTTGACATAAAAAATAGAAAAGACTATGATTGAGTCGACTTTAAGAAAGAGAATGCCTCTTTTTTATTACAATAAATTAAACTGCAAGAGTTTGCTTTTCCATTGACCAACCAACCATTTCCCCTCCACCCAAAGGAAACTATTTTCCACTATTTATAGGAGGTTTCAGCCGGAATTCCATCATATCAATTAAATCAGCCACAGTTTTGAGCTCGGACAACACATCGCTGCTCTCTGCTCTGATTGGTTGATGAGGCCGGTGGCATTCCCATCAGTGTTCCCTTCAGGTAATGATGTTCTGCAGAGGATAGGGGGGCCAAACCAATTGATTAGTGGGTTTGGGCAGTACTGACATCATTTGCAACAAGTGTAGGTGATTGATGGGATGATGCGACAGGATGTAAGGAATTTACAATCATTATGATTCTAGATATTACGGTGGCAATGAGCTCGAGCTGACCTTCGCAGACCAAGCTTGCATGTGACTGAAGTAGCTCCTGCGAGCACTGAGTATGAGATCGTAGGTTGGCAGTCAACAACTATAATAATATTTCAATCTGAGAAATCCAATCTCTCTCGACTCTAGGCTGCAGCTTAGATTTCCTTTTACTAGTTTTACTTGTGATTGATAAGAAGCTTTTCTTTAGAAATGTCAGATGTATGTTAGAGATGGTGCACTTAAGATTCAATTTTCTATCCAAAGTTTAGGGCATTGAGGAATTCAATATTTTTGGCACTTCATAAATAACTTTAAACAATCTAATAATACTTACCTACTATGTTTACATAGGTTAACAGAAAAACTACTGCAAATGCATGTGTAATTAGGAAGTGATTGGTAGTTTTAGTCCTTTCGGTGGATGACAAATAATTATAGTGGCAATATCTTTCTATCAATCAGTTCAAAAGTTATGTTGGTGGGTACTAATGGTATTTTTCTGCAGTACACTGGACTATTTTATGTTTTTATTTGCTCATGCTAGATTATCCTAAAAGCCTCTATTTGGTAGAAATTAAGATTCGGATTTTAATCTAAATCCAAGTCAAAGCCTAATTTAAAACATACATTTTATGGGATCCGTAACTTTTCTACTACACACCTCATCATCTTTTATCAAAATCTACTAAAAATCTGATTTTAATCCTCGCCAAACAGGGGATAAATATACCGAGAAAATTGCATGCTCAACAAGTTATCATGAATCACAATCTCTTCAATGGAACAACTTTGTCCACCCTGGTTTAATGTTTAATCAGTTGTGCAAACATGAACTTTGCTATGCCCGTCTATGAAATTATGTGTCTTCTATTTCAGGGTTCATGAGGCCATGATTATTCTTATATTGGTTCAGAGCTCTCTTTGATTGTCAAACCACTGAGTAAGTTTGTTTGTTATGATACCTCAACGTATGTTAGAGTAGGAATGAGATAGAATCAGTTAACAATTATTTATTTCCTCTTTTGATAAATGGCCCCGATACAACTCCAATTTCCTTATCACTTGGATATTCTACGAGTTACAAAGGATTTCTCTGCTTCTACTTTAATAAAGCAGATATTGGAATTGCAGTGCTGATGTCCAGAATAATAACTCTCTTGCTATATATGTGCTTAGATTCATTGCTGGAGTTTTCTTAACTAGGTATGGAACGTTTCCATTCTCTACTTTTCATGAAGTTCTGAGTAACGACACTATATGAGGATCTAATAAGGGACAACTTAAGATCGACTATTACATCTTATACATTTTTCCATTGCAGTCATCTGTATCTTTGTTCTTGACACTAGGTTAATGTTTATCCTGGAGAAATCAAAGTACAAATGTTAAGCCTTCTTTATACATCACATTTGAGGAAGTTGTAGTAATTTTTACTGAAACCATCAGGGTTCTCACTCATTGCGTTGTACAGCATCGAAATGTATTATTAATAATTTGGCCCCCCGAGACATAACTCAGTGATATAAAAGACGTGAATGAGATAGTATCAACCTCACTGACAGCTGCAGTGTGAGAGTTCAATTCCTAAAATATGGAATTAGACTCTTAGTCGGCACTAGTGTACAGGCAAGCTCTTGTTCCCCAGCCTGCTGAGACATATCCCGCAATTTACCTCCCTTACGATGCTCCAATGGTGGGACAGTGGGGACCCTCAAAGTTGAGGTTCAACTTTTAATAATTTGGAAAGAGAAAAATTCTCTTACGTTATTACTCAAGTTTTTGTATAGGAAATCAATTATAATTTAGTAGGTGTGTTGATTGTAATCATCACACGCTTCTCTCCATGAGATTGCTTGTCAAAAGTAGAATATTCTGAATGGATAATAACTTGAGCCAATAAGAGAAAAACTAGTTATGATTCTTCGGTCTTCTAATTTTGTCAAAAGTTTGGTAATCTACTTTTTAATTGTAATTAGTTTGTTGGGATACGTGAACCCGTGCGGACTTGACATTTTACTCTCTGATTAAATCATGTCATTATCTATCCTCTGTTTGGATCTTCTTTAAAGTTACTTAAGTTTATTTTTCTATTTACTCAATGTCAAATATTAATTTTAATCGTACATTCATGACTATTATCCACACATAATAATTTAATTTAAACTTGCTCTCTTGTACACACTAGACTTCATTATTATCGAGTTTATCGACTCCAAAATCATGTCAATTGAATCATAACGCCAAGCAAATCATGCTTCCAAATTAATAAATAAATAGAAAAAGTGCTAAATTCCTTTCTTTATCGATAAGCAATTAACCAATTCCAACCACCTCCTTGTGAGGAATTCAAACCTTCTAAATCATAGAAGTGTAAAATAAATTCTTCACACGTTTCATTCATTAAATAGAGCACATATAAAGCTAAATATTAGCAATCATAACTATGAATTATAAAATAAACTACAACTTTAATTAGATTAGATTCCTAACATCTTGCCAAAAGAGGGAAGAAAAGGAAAAAAGTCATGGCGATCAATAAAGTAGGAAATCATGATGCTCCTTCTTCTTCCTTACCAAATTAGGATTCTGAAGTATAGTGAAGGTGACTTGAAAAATTAGCAAATAAGGAACATCAGAACTAGCAATTCATACAATTTTTAGATGCATTAGTTATTCAAATATGAATATGAATCCCAGAAAGAATAAATGAGCAGAAAAGAAAAACTGGCAATTAATCATATAAAACCAAGAAATACTTAAGAAATATCAGTTGGACCAATAATCTGAATTTATTCAAATAGTACGTAAATTTGGATCCAAATTTTGACGGCAGTACAATTTTCCTGAATCTAGATATCACATAATTTCACAAATTACGAAATAGCCATGTTTATGTATGATCTCTTTGAAACGCCATGGCATCATTACTTCAAGACTGAACATCTCCTCTTCTTGGTGGCGCCTGCACCATTAAAATTGGCCTCAAAAATTCTGAAAAGTGATTCAGTTTCTTCACTCGACACCATCTCCAACTCATAATACAATTTTCTCTTGCATGAGAGTGCTGACTTCGGCTTCCTCGGCGCCGGTGGACAGTTCTCTGGGATTGTATTTGTATATTCAGGAGACTTTGGGGTGCCACAGTACTCTTCTCCGTTGATAATTATGCCACTTTGATCATGTTCATTCTTGATCTTTAGCATTGGGAACCGGACTTCGAGACTGAATTCTTCATCTGTAGACATGATTTAGTTTGTGGGATTTTTGCGGGATGGTAGAAGAAGGTTTTGGAGGAGGTCGACCGTCAAACAATGGCTGAGTTTTACATCACTATATAATTAGAGAGAGAGGGGTGGAATATAAAGGTAACAGAGAGAAAATTAAGTGTTGGAGTTTGCTTACTATCTATATATGAATTCTTGAACTTTCCTAAAATGCAATATATATGTAAAGCATATGTCAAAACTTGCCTAATTCTGGTTTGTGATTTTCAAGCCAACTTACTACCGTTGAAACGATTTCTTTGTATGTTTTGAGCATTAAGTAATTAACGTGATTTTTACTTTACTTATTAGTTGTTAAGTCGGTATAAACTGTGTAAGTCATACAAAATGTGTGGATGAAAACTTATTAAAAATAATCACTTTCCAAACATGCTACCTCCGTGTTGGAAGGAAGGTGATACACGTACGGGTTCACAAAACCCGTGCCAAACACTCATATACAACGAGTTGGTGGGTGTTTTTTTCATTTTTTCCTTTTTTTTTTACAAGTGGGCCCCATGTGGGACCAATTGTTTATGAGAGTTGGTTCACTGAACCCCTGTACACTCTTCATTTTCCATGTTGGAAAGAATCATACTACATGTACAATCTAGTTTGACAATCTTGATTGACAACTCACACTTGACAATATCATATTCATCCATTTCAAAATTTGTTTTTTTTTTTTTAAATTAATGGCCTGAATTTTGACAATGCCAACTTTGTCGAGCATTATCATACAAATATCATAATTGAAGGTAAAAACTGAAAACAAAAAAAATCAATCACACTACTTGTACAATATATTTTTACAATATTGGTTGACAACACGCACTTAACAACATCACATTCATCTATTATAGAAATTGTTTTTTAAACCAATGGTCCAAATTTTGACAATATCAATATTGTCAACCATAATTGTCAATAACAATTGTACAAACAACTTTATTCTGTTGAAAATTTGGAATATAGACTGCCTTTGTTGAATATATCTGAAGCAATAATATTAGAAAACAAATTTTGCTATACACAAAATTTGTGGGTGTTTCAAATACAATTTTTTATTTATGTATTTTGCTCCATTAAGAATTTAAAAAATTATTTTCTACACGTTCAATTTTCCAAAAAAGTCCCGTAATTTATCTTTGTACCCAGCAACTGCTGTTGGAAATCAACTTTGACAAACAAAAGAAGAATGGCAGAATTGAAGTGGATAAAAATAAAGCCAGATATGCAGCAATAAACTGTCTTAAAGACATTTTTTACCCGTACTCTGTTACTAACGTGATAGTCGGACATCTGTCCTCGATATATAACCTAGATATTGAGTGAATTGTCCAAATAGTTACTAAACTTTACAAAAAGTTTTCAGGAGGTCATTGAACTTTAAAAATCACCTCACTCATTACTGAACTTTCCAATTCATAATATCATTAATCACTGAGTTAACGGTTGTTAAAAATTTGGATGAAATGCTGACGTGTCCGATGACGTGGCTTACCACTCAAATGGTGATGCCGAATGGATGAATTGTTACACAGTTGGTGTTCTTGAACAAACTTTTTTTCCTTAAATTTTGAATTAAAAAAGAAAAAAAAAACAAAATCATACTACCCCTAAACCACCTTAGAGTCATCACTTATGAACCACCAAAACTGTACCCTTTGGCCACCTTGCCGTCGGACCAACATACCACCTTGAAACTCTCGCTTCCCTCTTCGCAGCACACCCAAGCTTCAGCCATAACACCAACCGATTTGGCCGAAAATTCAAGACAAAATTGGCTTTCCATGCAACAAAAAGTAGCCGAAATCTTCACTTCTGGCGACACCCACACCTATACAACCTCCAGATCGATCAAGCTCCTCAATACCCACCTACAGATGTCCGCATACCATCAAATACTACAAATAATCCAAATCCCCAGTCATTTCATTGACGGCGAACTCGAACTGTTTACACTTGACTTCTGGCACCAACAGGATGATTCACGATCACGAACCACTTCCACCGCCATCGCCTCATCAAGGTGCACCTAATGCACCTATGGGTCATCTTCAATTTTGCCCGCATATGGAAGAAACAGCTTCGACAATTCGCATGCAGGGAGAAATCGTGATCCCCTTTCAATTGATGCTTCTCCACAACTTCAACCCACAAATTGGACCAAACAACATGAAATTCAGGAAAAAAGGGCTCTGGCTAAGGATTTAATTGCTGCATTTCATCAATCAAAAGAAACAATTTTGGATTTAGCTTCAAGATCGGCGTTCATCTCCAATTTCATATTCAGTTTCTTTTTATTTATTTATTTTTTCTTTTATCCTTATTAAAAATGCCAACTATGTAACAATTCATCCATTTGGCGTTCACCATCTGTGTGGCACGTCACGTCAGCATTTCATCCAAATTTTAAACAATCGTTAGCTCAATGATGAATTTTGGTTACTGAACTTAAATACATGTTTTCGATTGCTCACTAAAATTTAAATTATCAAATTTTGGTCATTGAATTTTGAAAAATGTTATACATTTCTCATTGGAAACTCGATATTTCTTAAAGTTCAACATTTATACTAGTGAGTCACGTACGACATTTTTCAAAATTCAATGGTCAAAATTTGACATTTTAAACTTCGATAAGCAATCGAAGACATGAACTTAAATTTAATGACCAAAACTCCACATTTTAAATTTCAGTGACCAATCAAAGACATGAGCCCGAACTCAGTGATCATTGGAACAATTAATTCTCAACCATACCAGTCTTGTCGATTGTTGCTTGAAAATCCAAACAATAACTTTTTAAAAATGGAAAAATATTTGGACAAAATTTAGGAATATAAAATCCAATTATTCCTAAATTGATACAAATGAAATGGAATTTGAAGGGTTTTTATTTTTATCTGTTGTTACTACTTTTTACACAGATTGATCGATTTACATGGCACAATTTCTATTTCTGAAAACTTTTAATCGCCCCCACTCCCCAGCTCCTCGCGAGGACCCGTACACGAAGTGCACCTCCAAAGATCCCTTGCAACGGGACTCAGGTTGTGAGCACAACTACAACACAAGGAAGTGCATTCCTTTACAAACTAGTCCATCTTTTGTTTCTTTTTCATTGTAGAAATCATTCTTATTGGTTATAAACTTAATTTAGGGTTTGTTTGATTGCAAAGATAGAATTGAATTAAATTAAAAACAAATTCTAGAAAATTGAATTGCCTAGAAATTATTTTCTTGAGAATTGAAAATTATTGCGTTTGATTGATATAATTTTCCACGTGGAAAATGTTAAAATAAAAGTGGCTTTTTATGTTCATTTGGCTTTATTTTACATAAAAATTGATAATTAAAGGGATAAAATTTACTGGTATTAGGTATGAAATTTGTTTCCCAAAAAAAGTCACAAAAATCGTCTATCTTTTGATATTCGTTTGACTTTGTTTTACAAAATATTTTTTTACAATAATTCTTATAATTTATTTTCATTGCCCAAAAAAATTTTTAAAAATGCTACAGTAACCAAGAATTCCAATTCTCACCATTTTGGTGAGAATTGGAATTCAATGATTTGATTGAAAATGCTGATGTGGCCAAGAAAGGTGAAATTCATTTTCCATAGAAAATTTCACCTATCAACCACTACAAAAA